AACGTATTGAGGAAGATGGATGAACTGGGAGAGCTCCCTGCTTCAGGGTGAGGGGGTCAGAAGCCGTGCAGGACAGTCCCTATTCCTGTGACCCTGTGTCCCGCGGGAAGGCCCGCGCTGCCAGGGGAAGCTGATGATAGAGAGGCTCAAATCACCAGGGTGTTGGGTTAACCCAGCATCCCACTGGCCCTTCACAGCTGTTTCTCAGCGCGGGGAAGGCCGTGGCCAGCACGAGCTGCAATGGGACGAGGCTTTTCATCCATTTCCCCAGCGAAGGGCACCTCAGTGACACCTCTGCTCAACGAAACACCCTCTTTCGTGGCACCTCCCTTGCTCTAAATGCTATAAAATCAGGAATATCCAGTTTATTTGGAAAGCAGACTAACAATTCCTCTAGCTTCTCAATCACACTGGCTCCGGCTCTCAGATGAATCAAGCAAGAGAATTTTTGCTGGCTCAAAACAGGCCATCTGCTACTGCTTTAAAAACAAGTCAAGAGCAAAACTACAGGCTCTACAAAACGAGGCTTTCAGCAACAAAATGAGCTGAAGAAAGAAAATCACCAGGGTAAATTGCTCCCAGTTGTGCACACACTGAATTAGAGAATAGTTGACTTGCCCATTGCCTGACCCACCGGCCACACTAGGAACTCCTCAAATGCTTCCTGCGCCAATCTGTGGGAAAGCTGGAAAAGCTCTGCTTGTTTCCCCGGGAAGGGAAGGGAACGGCACGTCCTGTCCTGCGCTCGCTGCGCTGGGTCTCAGCGCGCGGCAGGGACAGCGGCTCCATGTCCGGACGCGCGGGGAGCTTCGGGCAGAGCTGCGGCCCCGTACATGCACATGCAGACACAGACCCCGTGACGCCAGCAGAAATACTCCGTGCTCGTGTGCTGTGACCATGTGCCTGCTCGGATGCAGGGAACCTGCAACCGGGCGGCCGGAGACACCAAACAGCCCCGCGATCCTCAAGTTCCTCCCTTTTGGCTCGTAATGTGATTTATTAATTAAGGCTCACGGTAATGACTATGAAACCATCATCTATTAAACAAGCAACATGGGGGGGGGGGGGTTTGAAAGCAGTAGCACCACGTGCTGAGAGCGACCCTGCTCCCAGCTTGCTCCGTGTTTGCATTGCACAAGTGATCGCCACCTGGCCACACAAAACATTGAAATAATGCTCAAAAAGGTATTTACGGAGGCTTATTTACTGATGGAGGCTTTCCTTCTGAAGCCTCTTACAGAGGTTCGTTTTCCCCTCAAAAACACCATATACGAGTAAGAAATGATAGTGCTGCTGTTTGGTCTTTCGGGCACTATGCATTGTATACGGCAGACAGGTATATGTGGCCTCCAGAGACTCTAAATTGTTTTACTCAAGTAAYGCAGAGAGCCCATAGTGCAAATACCCTCAAATATTACATATAGCTCATGACTGATCTTTATCTTCCAGGAAGATATTTTTTTTAACCCTTTATCACATCTAGAGCAAAGCTTTGATCATATTTCCATTTTAAAAAGTGTTTCAATTCCTGCAGTTTGTTCCAACCTCGAACAAATATAAATTCTCTCTATAAGGCTTGAGGTAAAAGCCTCAGACATCCAAGAGTCTCACACTCATTTTGGATCATCTGTCCATCACAGCAGCTTCATCCCGACAAGGGCGGCGAAATCTTTCCCCTCCATCGTCCTTACTCTCCAACACAGAAGGAWTTTTGTCCTAATCCTGACAAGACAGAGCAAGAAAACAGCAGAGATTTCTTAGTTATCTTATTTTCTAATAAAATGTTCTCAATACGAAATAAGACAAATGTTATCTTGTTATACTTGCAGCTAAATTTGGTCGGTCTTATCTGTAAATATCACCACTGACTAAAATAACAGTACAGAGGAAAAACAACTAATATTCACGGAGGATTATCTCACGAGCAGAGATGAGAACAAGTCCATGTCGATGAAGACACAACCATCAGAGATGCTGCAGAGCAGTGTCCCTCAGCATCAGCATCAGGAGCATCCAAGAGCAGGAGGGGCACGAAGGGCCCAGAGGAGCAGGGAGGAGCATCCGTGGGGAGCAAGAAGCGGGTACCACATTCTGCAAGTGGTGGTGCAAGGGAGCGCAAAGGGGCGTGAAAGTGCAGATTTGACAAAATTGGTATTTTGTCCTACTGACTGAAAATTGTTTTTAACATCTTTAAGCCTTCCTGCTGTTGATTTATCCTTTAATTTAGCTTTCTACACACATCTGTACATAACATTTTCTGCAAAGGATTTTTCTTGTCAGCAATCCCTGCCACTGCCACACTAGTATTTGCTGCAAGCTTCAACTTTTAAGGGTATTGCTGATAAAATTCTGGCATTTAAATTTGCACTGACAAATCTTTGGCTTGTTATTTTTCATTTGTCAATTTTCTGGCAGCAGAGAATTTTCACTGCTTTTGCCAGGAAAAAAAAAAAAATTAGCATCAAGCTCATCTTCCTCATTTATGGTACTGTTTTTGGGCAATTGATAAGGAGAGGGATTCATTTCAGCAAAAGAGAAAAAAAAAGCCTCTGTAAACGTGCATTATGAAGATGTTTCTGTGGCCTTAGCCTGTGCGTTTGCTGCTGGGCCAGCACCACTCTGCGTGGGAGCCCTCGGTGCCAGCGGCCACCTCGGCTCCAGCGACACGCGGCGGGTGGATAATCCATGGCAGGGACATGGGCCTGAGGTGCCTGCAAAAACTGCGGAATTGGGCAAACAGCACCCAAAAGGGAGCAGCAGCCGCCACSCTGCACGACGCTCGGGACACGCGGGAGATGCGGCATTCCCGGCACACGGCTCGTGCCGCGAGCCGGCACAGGGAGCATCGGAGCAAGCAAAGCCACAGCTCCCCTGTGTCTTATGGAGCTGCTTCCCGCAATCCCTGCTGCTGCCGCTGGCCCTCTGGCTCAGGAGCTATCGGGGAGCTACGGAAATGCCAAACGTTGGAGAAAAGGGTCAGGCAAAGGTTTTTCTTTTAATGTAGCTTTTCACAGGACTTAAAAGGAGGTTGGATTTTAACCAACCTTCAAGGCTTCCTTTTCACCGTAGAAACAAAATAACGATGGTGAAAATCCATGCCTTTCTAATAGATGTTTGAAAAGGTCACTCTTCAGAAAATAAACGGTGGCAAAATGTGGCTCAACTTCCTTCCAGTTACCCCGTGCAAACCCCGGGCTACAATTTGCTAAACCACAGATTGAGATTAATAACGACGGCCGGTACACAAGATGTGAGCATTTGGAGWCTCGCTAAACCGAAGCGGGAATCAGGAGGTCCTCGTGCCTCGGTGCCTCGCTCGGCAGGGATGTCAGCCCCACGAACGGCCGAGCAGCCAGCGCTGCGACACGGGTCCCTCCCATTGCTCATCGCGGCCAAGGCCACTCGGCTCCTCCTGTTCTCCTCCACAGTGATCCAAGTTCACACCACAAACAACGGAATCCAGGGACAGCAAATGCAGACTCCAGGGAGGGATCATTCGTCTGTGACACTGGAGCACTTCCCACACCAAAAATTCAATGTCCTAGGATTTATAATGACATTGTATTTCATTTTAATATTGAATTTCATTGGTTTAAAACCGCCTACGCTGCAGGGTTAGGAATGCTATTAGGGAAAAGTATATTGTACTGCAACATTCGTCATAAATAATGAGTCTTGGTAGATAAAATGATTGAAGGAAAAGTGAAATCCGAATCAACACCTTGTTACTGCGAGCCAGGGCTGGCTTCGCTCGGTTGGTTAAACCACGCAGCTCTCAAGGGCGGGTGGAAACCTCTCCCTGTCCCCTGGCAGAGCACACGGGGACCGGCCCCGCTGGGATCTCCTTACCGCAACGCAGCTAGTCCCGTTCTGAGCCAAAGCGAACGGACTCTGTGTGCCGGGAACTTGTCAGGGCAGCTCGGGCTTCTCCTCCGCAGCACAAGGAACCCCCGTCACCCGGGGCTCCCCACACGGGCACTTCTTGGCTCTTCGTCCTTGCCCCTGGCCTTGCGTGATTTAGCACGGTTTGCTCCTGACACATGCACACGGCCGTTTCTCCTCCTGGCCTGCTCTGGATGGCTGCAAACATGTGGGAAGTGCTGGAAGAGACTTTTTCCCCCCCCCTCATTTAAAAAAAAAAAAAAAATTATAATTCTAATTTTTCCCAAATTAATATTTCCAAATCTCTTTGCTTTTCAACCACAGAACCCACAATTTCCTTTTGCAGGTTTCTAATACGTCACCATCCTTCACGGCTCATCCGATGGGAAGACAAACCCACGGAGCAGCCTCCAGGCTCGCGGGGTAGCAGCTCAGGGCCCTGCACCAGCCCCTGCAGCACCTGACATTTTGCACCCTTTTTCATTCACTTTCTCTATTGATTTTTCCAAGTACATCCTTGCCCATGCTTGCTTAATGCATTAGCCTATTTATCCTGAGTGGCTATTGAAATACATTCTCATCTCACTTACATCAGCATTTTTCGCCATTAACTACAAGTTCAGCTTCGTGAGTGGCATCTGGTTCCCAAGCTAAGCAGAACACTAGTTACACTCCGAATCCATTCGCTGGCAGTAACGAAACAAACGCTCCCCGTTAATGCAGAGCTGCAGCCTCCTGCTCTTCCCTGCTGATTCAGCGGCTGCAGGAGCCCGAGCTGCTTCCAAGGCCAGAGCCGTGGCGAGGTGGCCGGCGCGGTGCACGCTCTGCCCAAAGGGCAACTGGGCTGTTCCAGCCCCTGCGCAGCACCAAGACTCGTGATTAGTCCTGAGCTACAWCATACAGCAGCCTGCCATTAGGCTCAGAGCTCCACATAAGCTCAACTGGTGACTGATCAACCGAGCAAAACTTAACTGGAAAAAATGACACCTCTCCAAATTTTGTTAAAGGTAGATACATATTCCGCTTTTTTTAAAAAAGTTAATAACATTTATACCATTTTCTGAGGCTATTCTCTGCATATGACAGTGACTATTACTAACTTTCTAAAGGAAATGAAGCCTTGCTAGCTGAAACGTAAAGCACAGCAATAAAAGCATCCAAAGGAAGATGCTCAACTCTGATGTGAACTGCCCTGCTCGCAACGACACTCAGACTTACCGACTGTTACAGACACAAACACTTTTATTCTCTGGTTAACTGCACAGAATATAATCCTATTTGGTACTAATGGCTGTGAAGCACAATGGAGACCTAAAATGAAAGTCAGTATTTATTCTCTTTCACATACTAAYGAATAAGCTTAAAACAACATTCAAAATGATGCACATTTCTGTAGAATTAAGTAAATGCAAGCATGATTTATTTYACTTGTAAAGGTTAAATTACCTGAGTGAAGCAAATATATCGTTCCTCAGACACAGATTTACCATTTTGAAAAAGCAGGCAYTTCCAGAGGCACCTGGGGCCCATGGACCCTACGTGGCCACACGCTCGCTCCAACTTGCTCACGGGGCACAGCAAGTGCCCATCCATCCGAGTGGGAACGGGCACAAAACAGGGAGCCACTTCCACTCGCTGCAGGAAAAGAGCCAGCCCAAGGACTCTGCAGCAGCCTGGGAGCTCACGCCAAGCTTGGAGTTTGTTAGTTAGAGCAGACCCTGGGTGCACTAACCGCTACGCCAAGGCAGCCTCAGCGACAAGGTGCAAAGCTCCAGCGCTTTATTAAGTGCTCGAATGCACTACAAGTAAGAAGAGGGGCCAAGTCGGACGGGCTGCACAGCCTCGAGCCCCCGCACAGCCCCAGGCCCCCGGCCCAGCCACTCTAGCTCTTCTTCCTCTTGCTCTTGGGCAGCAGCTCATCGTTTGGGGACATTCTGGARCCATGTATCTTCCTTTTCTTAAATTCCAGGTCCAGGAGGCTGCTGCAAAGGAAAAGGGGAAAGAGGGGTTTTAAAGATGCTCTAATAGTGGCCATTATTCAAGCACTATAACAATTACGCAGGCATACACACAAATACATTTAACATGCACGTGTGACTGGTGGCGATGAAAAGAAATATTGCTCTATTTTCTCCTCTGCTTCCTGGACATGAAAAGTTRTTGGAAAAACAGATCACATAACACCTCATTTCTCTCTACAGGTGTAAGTTCCTGGAAATAGCAGTTATTGGAACACTCTCTTCACTAATTTTGATAGGTACATGAAACAGACACCTCCCTCTAAATACAAACATGTCCTGGAGTGAAGAAAACAGCAGGAAAAGAATGTAGAATTTTGAGGAGAGAAGGAGAGCAGGAGAGAAAGAAAAAAAAAAGAAAAGAGAAAAAGAAAAAAAAAAGGAAAAGAAGAAAGGCATTTTAGCTTTCCTGGTTGGAACCAGTCTCTTGGGGGCCATTATCATGGCTCTGGCTGTGCAACGTCTGAGGCCAGCAAGCAGATCACAGACACTTAACACAGTGGCCTGAAGAGCAGCCCTTCTCCTTATCCCTTGAGGGCTTCCCTGCGGTGCCACCAATGAGTTTGAGTCCTGGGGCAACTCAGCACGCGCCGTTCCCGGTGGACACAGGGGCACCACACAGCACCTCTGCACAGCAAGGGATGGCAGCAGCAGGCGCAGGAAAGACACCACTCCAACACAGCCCCTGCCTCTCGTACAAAGCTGGTCTGCACTGAAGGTTGAATCTGTTACTGCCTAACACAATTATGTAATTAGATGAGCGCTATTATACCATAGTGAGCTGTAATATACTAAGTAATTTCCAGGCCTATTTTGGGTTTTACAATAGTAATTGCCATTGACAAAACCAAGATATTTTATCAGAAAATGTCTACTTGAAAAAGAGCCAGCCCCGGCAGTCCTGCCACAAAGGAAAAGGACAGAGATTTTGGTCGATTACCCAGCAAGGAAAGTATGGAGGACTTCCTTCTTGAAACAGGTTCTCCTTGCCAGAGCCTCCTCTATGTTACAGACAAGGAATTTTCCACTAGAAATGCAAAGTGTTTTCTTCTTAGCCATGATGTTAATTTTAAGAGAAAAATGCTGTTAAACTAGCCATGTTTAAATTAAGCAGCTGATTTCCCCCATTTGGCCTCAGAGCTTGAAATTCCATGCAGTGTGGACATGAAAGATACTGCTCACCCACCTACTGCTGTGCCTCCTTAGGGATTTGTTAAAGGGACATTGTGTTCTCCCCGCTCCTGCCCAGCCAGGCTGGGCTGAGGGGCTGCTCCAGCTGGGAGCTCCGCGGCAAAGGCAGCGGCACCAGAGCCGGTGCCCAAGGGAGCACCGGAACGGGAACCCCCAGCATCCACGGAACCACTGCCTGCGCCCAGGTCCAAAGCAGCAGCATTAGACTGTGCCTTTGGAGACAGCGGTTTGATGAGATCTCTGCAGCTGCCGAGCTCCCAAGAACAGGGTGCTGCTCATGCCTACCCCTGTGCTGCCCTCCTCCCGGCCTCAGAGCAGCAAATCCTGCTCCGGTGACGACTTCCATCAAGCATCAGGACCAAAGTGAGCGCCTTCCTCTGCCAGCTTTACTCWCCCTGCCCTGCTTTCCATCACCTACACTCATGTCATGGAAAGGACCAACCATTTTAGAAGCGGATGAGGCTTTGAAATCACTGAAATTGAGTGTTAACAGAAACTCTTTATATATGTGCTACTTCTTTCCCTGCTCCAGTTCATAAATTTGCCTCATTTAAATTCAATGCAAATGCCAAGGCTGAGTTTTATAAAATAGCTCATTACAGTAATGCATGGCCACAGGCAGTCCCATACAGAACCAAACTGCATCGGCTAAGCTGTGACAGGATGCACAAGTGGATGCACATATGTTTCATGAACGCCACGATGCAAATGATTCTTCCTTTCAAATCACCCTCCAAGGCAGATATCTGTGACCAGAGCCCGGGGAGGTGTTTAGTATTGAGTGTACCCAGCTCCCGTGTGAGCCATACCCGTGTTCTGCTGCAAGGAGAATTTGCCTCCTCCTTTCGAGTCTGCAGTGTGTGACGGAACAGGAGAACCAGCCTTGGTGGCTGCGGGTCCCTAGAAGCCCTCCCTGAACGGCGCTGGAGGAGGATGTTCATCACGGCTGGCTCACACAGCAGACGCTCCGTACTGATGGTTCTCGTAGCACAGGGTCTTCCCTGCGTCCCCGTCCTCCTGCAGCTCCTAGGGACGCTTCCCTTGGTCTAGGGCCTGGCGAGCAGCGAGGGCAGCGGTGCCAGGAGCTGAGCGGGTCCTGCCCTCCCGCYGCCCTGCTTGGCACCTCCGGCAGGAAAAGGGCCGCGCGCAGCCAAGCTAACCTACCTGCTAACAGGGATCCGAGCTTTCCTAAGGTGACATGAGCTTTCAGTATGACATGGAGTCTCTCTGCATTGTTTTCTGTTTCCTTTGCGCTAGTTCTGCCTGCATTTCAGGTTACTGCCATCTCACAGAGCCTGTGATGAACGCAGCTCTACCACACGCTGCTCTGCAGTATGGCCTTGGGAAGACGTGCTGAATTATGGTCTTCAAAACTCGAGCAGCGCTCAGCTAACGAGCGGCCACTAACAACCTCCTCGCTCGTGGGGGTTACGAGGAAGGAGAGAGCACAGACAGAAAGGCACCCGGGCGTCCAACAGCCCGGGCCGGGGAGGCAGGGTGCTGTGCTGGCCGCTGCCTTGATTATATAAGCAAGTATCTCATAATATTTTCTATTTCTGCTTTGATAAGTTTACCATAGAAATCAAACATGAGAAAACAAAACTAACCAGCAACAATAAGGAATCTATTCAATTATTTTCCATGCAAATTAAAGAAAAAAAACCCACAGAAACTGCCAAAGGGGAGAAAAGGTAATTACAGCTTTTAGTAATCTAAAGCTTTATAACTAGCACTAAGCCAGAAAAGATGCTGGTCACAGAAACGTATTCTAGGAAATAACTGATTAAAATCAGCCCATAGACCCACCCTGTAAATCCTGCCTTTTGTCCTAGCTGGGAGGGCTCCCGTGAATTACAGCCGGTCGCTCGTGCAGGGCGGGAGCCTGCGAGACCAGTCCCGCGGGAGCRGGAGCCGCCGGGGCCCTGCTGGGATACCCGACCGCACAGCCCCGTCACCACGAGGACATCTCGGCTTCACCGTCCTCACGCRCTTCAGTTACAGTTATCAACTTAAGATGCCTTTCAAATTAAAGGAAAGAACTAATTCTTCATAGATAACGCTAAGATAAGCAAAGAGACAGATTCTAAAACCAGAACAAAAGAAAAATTTCTCAGTGCTTACCCAGTGCAGACACACAATGCAAAGAGCAAGGCTCATTACAAACCTCTTTGTGYGGATGATTGGAGAACAGGTTCACAGGGATATCATTCAGGAATTCTCTCTTCTCCTGAACCCAGGTCAACACTGCCATGTGCAGGCAAAAAACACAGATGCAGCTTTGCAAACAAGCAGCTGCTGCCCAGAGGTTGTGTTGAAGAGGGGAACCGCTGCATGCAGGGTCTGTGTCAGGCAACGCCAGACGCTCGTCGGGCCGTGCGGGAGCCGGCTCCCTGGCACTCGCACTGTCCAAAACCACCCAGGTCAGCAGGGTACCGAGAGCTGCAGTGGCTCCCAGAGCCACATCCCCACCAGCTCAATTTTTATGCCCCTGCTATTAACACTCCACAGCACAAGCATGCTGGCGAGCATCACAGATGGAATTTATATTTGAAGGATTAAAAGCTTTACATTGTTGTTGAACTACCACTTAAAACCATTTGTCTGTTGTTAAAGATGTTAAAAAAAAAGAATTTACCAACAGTACAGACTAATAGAAACTGCTATGGATGGTTGTAGCAACACAGAAGGTTGAGGGAAAGGAGCTGCCAATGGCTGAGGTTTGCCGGGCTGGCCAGGGAAGGGCAGGCAGGGAGCACCCAAAGCGCCCCGGGCGCCCTGCGTGCAGAGCCAGCCCGTGCCCAGGGGAACAGCAGCAGCGCCCGCAGTGCCCAACGCCCGYGGCACCTGGCACCGGCGTGATTGTCCCGGTCACACAGCAGACATCCTCTGAAACGAACCCTCTTAACACACGGCACCTTTGTCACCTGGGGCTACCTCATATATTCACCAGGAAATTAACAGTTAAAGATGATTTTGACTAAGGTGGGGTATCTTCTCTGTCSTAAGGAAAAGGAAATAATCTACCTTAATAATTGTAACTACTGAAAAGCAAAGATCATTTAACTCTAATTGCTTGGAATTCTCTTACAGTAGAAATACTTATAAAGGGTGTAGAAAACACTTCTCTCCACAACACAGCCTGTCAGAGTGCACTAGGACATAACTGAGTGCATTCTGATCTTGGACAAGGTTTCCATATCTAAATTTTCTTCTGGAGGATTCAGATGGTATTCAGAATTTCACCCAGCTCTGCATGGTGCTGTTGGGTTTTTCAAGAGATGTCAGCATCTACACGTGCAGGAAGATATCCAAAGGGACTTGGAAGCTCCTGCAGGAAGCCGGGCACCACACAGCAAGCGCCCGAAACGTCACCAACGCATCTGTGGATCAAGAGGAGCTCCTAGTTGCTGATGTCTTTGGGCCAGCAGGTCCTGCACCCCGGCAAAGCTCCCCAAGTCACCAGGTTTGTGGCGCTGAACAGCACCGCAGCAGATGAGAATGCTTCTTTTGGAAAGTCATACTGTAGACATTGAGATGCAAAAATTCCATTCCGGTTCTGGCATTCTCCTGGCTGCCCWGGGGAAATCAATTGATGTGTCAGCACAAGTTTTAAGGATGTTTTACAGAGTCCAATTCTCTTGAAAACCTCATTTGGAAATTCCCTAAAATAGCCATAACTCACAAATTAGGAAGAGCAGCAAACGTGAAAAAGGAAATTGTCATAAAACGGCCAGTGGAAAGATTCATTCTGCTCCTACCAGCCAGGTCTGAAAAATCTTTGATGAAGCCACGTGGTGGAAAGGAGGGGGCAGGTGGGTCCCAACCGCAGGGCGCCTCCGAGGGCGTCGCGGGGGTTACAGGAGCAGTGGGCTGGGGTTCTGCACTGAAACTGCCTGCGCGGAGCGGGGTGAGCAGGGCTCTGCACGGGCAGCAGCAGGACACGGGCTCGCCGCGGTCCTGGCCACTCGCGAGGTTTGCTGGGAAGCAGAGATCCGATTTCCTACTCGCAGCRCTGCACTCCCCGACAAAGTAAATTAAAATTATCGAGCCATGCTCCCACTGCTGAGCTAAGAGCAGCCAGTTTATATTTCTTCCACTGAAGCTTAAACTTGAATTTAATCCTGAATCTAATCCTTTCAAAGTCGTAGAAAACTCAAAATCCCAGGGGTGAAGAAACATCAAAAGATACGGCCTCCATCTCAGGCRTTGCCTCTCCTCACTTCAGCTCACTGTGGGACAGAAAACTTTTCCACTCAAGTGCTAACAAAACAGTGCCTGTTAGTCTGTGCCATACGCCATTCACTCAAACAACCAGAAAAGAATAATTCTGACCTTCCACCTGTGAGCACAAGCATCAGCTTGTTCACCAGACTCTCCCTGGAATGCATTTTGCTTATAGGAGCCAGACTGACAAAGGAAGCACCGGCATTTTCATCCATCTGTGAAATTCTGCTCTTATTGCTTCTAAATGCTCTTTCCTCTCCTCCAAAATGAAGCAGATCTATCACACAAGAAAATTTCGACACCGATGCAATATCTTTGTCCTCAGTCCTCTGACAGAAGCCTGTGCTCCCAGTGCCTTACCTCTTAGAGCAGGGATCTTAGAGCACGTGCAATCACACAGGGGTACAAAAATAAGGATTCTTGAGAAAACAGGCGAGAAAGCAGTCAAACAATTTTATTGTAGTTTGCAGCAGGCCTAATAACTCCTGTGTAGAAGACAGATGTGGTTCTTGCCCTTTCCCAAATGGTAACAGCAGTGAAAGATGATGCTCCTCTGACGAAAGCATCACCAGAGCCGCTGCAGAGCGGCACTCACACACCAAGCACTGCACACTMAGGCCAGGCTCAGCGAGCCGCACTCAGGTGCTACAGTAATGTACGTCTATAAACGTCCTTCCAGTAAATACTGCTCATTCCTTCCTCAAATTATGGCTATTTCTACAATGAAGGCTTAATGATTACTTTCTATTTTTCCATTAAGGCACTTTACACCGACCTCTGACACCACTGTAATCAAGGCCTGACCAGCAAGTCCATTAAAGCTCCTTATCCAACAAATTATTTAAATACACATTCTAGGTACTACTCAGATACTACTTGTCATTAACTATGAATTTTAAGAGCTGTCAGTTTATTGACCACATTTGTACGTAGCAAATAAGAAATTAGTCCTCTTAAAATAAATGAATTGTGGTATAAGTATCAAGGGTGATACAGTTCTCACTCCCTGAAGATCAGCTACTAAAGTGAACATGATATTCAAAAAAGACAACCCAAATTTGCTACAAGAACAAACCGTACTATTTTTGCAGACTCCAATCTTGCTTCCAACTACTTGGTATAACGATCACAAAACTTTTTAGTTAGTCTAGCACTGCACTATTCCTGCGTACCTTTAGCACCCCCTATTTATCCTTGTCTCCCCTACATCTTCATGTATTTCATCAGATTGTGTCAAACATCCTAGAACRGTTTATTGGTGTTTGCATGACATCTTGTACAGCTAGAACCAATTTTTAAATATTATCACTATATAACAGAAGGTGGTAGTTGTCTTTAAGAAATTAAATGTTAAGATTTTAAAAAGAGAAAGAATTCTTCAGACAGAAGTAAACCAAAATGAATGCGGTAATTCCAGCACGTTAAAATATGTAGAGAGATGCAGGAGAGACTGACAATAACATAACTTCAAATACAACAGAAGACCAGATCCTAGCAGCTTTTCCTAAAATCGTTTCTCTCATCCTTTCTTTCATATATTTATACTCAAGTACAGCTTAAAACAACACTTTCCTGCTATCCATCAGCAGATGCTCGGTGATTCCAGGTATTATTTAAGAGCCCAAAGCCACGGACCAAAGAAACGTCAAACCTATTATGTCTCCTTTGTGTGTGGAAGGTGGCAAGATTCTGACTTTTTAGGCATTTACTACTTCTTCAGAAAACAGAGAGTTCTACAGCTGAAAAAGGCCGACAGCTACTGGCCTGCTCTCAAGGGCTTGTCTTCTCCACCCACGCATTTTACTTACTTATCAGATGACTCCGAATACATCTCAATCCCTTGCACGTCTCTCAGAATGTCTGAACTAGAGCTGAAAAGAAAAATAAGAAAAAAGATCAAACATAAGCAAGTTATTTTAGCAGCACCTGTACCACACTAGGACGCTAGGCGCAAAGASAGCAGAATTAAGACAAGGACAAAGCACAGTGCAAGTCCTGCTGGTGGGAAGATCATTTCCAACTGGCAGCCCAGCTAAGCAGCTCGGCCTCTGCCTCACGTGACTTTGGGAGTTACTACTAGTTCTCATTCTTATTCTTCAACATGCCTGAAAATTCTTCCTGTTCTCAYCCCCTTGCTGCTATAATATCTTATTTGCAAACATCAGGTAAGACACTTCAGTGGGTAAAGAACAATATTTACAAGATCAAGGTCCTTGCAAGCTCYCTGCTCTCTGAGCGCAAGGTTTTAGGTGTAAGCTTACATTCTGACCACTAAGAAAAAAAAAGTTTTATTAAACAAAAATAAAATTTATAAGCCCATAAAGATTTGTTAGGGACAAATCAGCACATGAAGACATAAAACAAAACAGAACAGCGAAGCGTCTTGCCAGCCACCTCGGTAACTCATCACACAAACAAAGGCTGCTCATCTCGAGCTGCTCCAAGAAAGCTTTCTTTGACAAAGGGCTCTTTAGGAAAGAGACCTGGGCCCGAGGAGATGAGAGCATTGGCAGGGCAGCCCCGGAGCCGGTCCCAGCAGCTGCCTCGCGTTTGTCCCCAACGTCAAGTCCTGGGTGCATTTGGCCCGTTATTCCTAAAACCTTTCCACTGATCAACAAAAGGCGTATTTCATAAAACTATTTATTTTATAATTAAAGTAACTGATTTTAGAGTTTACTGGGTGCTTTTATTATTCAAAGAAAGCAAGCCACCTTGGTGCCTTACATATTGCAAGTTGAAATGAATGAAGACTGAATCACACGGTTTCCTGATACTCAAGAACAACTTAAAACATTTTTCTGCACAACTTTTTTATCTGCTTGAAGAGACCTTTTTATTTTTCATCTTCATACTTCAGTTTACATTCTAATGTAACATGGTAAAACAAAACATTTCTTTCCAAGCCAAATTTAATATGTGCATAAAAAAGTCACCAGACTCGYCAATGCTGGGCAACTGGGAACCTCCAGCGTGACAGAAGCCTCTACGATGGTGACCCAAAGAAACGGTGATAGCAACGTGACCAGCCTAGGCCTCCAGAAAGGAGATCAACCAGCTCCTGCCAACGCTCTGCAGCCCTCCAAGCTGTCAYGCTAATAAGAACTGAAAAGGTTATCCAGAAGAGTTTTGCAGAAGCAGGCACATAAACACATAAAACCTTCAGGGTTCATCTGCTTTCTTCAACCCTTGCACCTGTGCAAAACCTAAACATATTTATCAAGCTTTTTTAATAGAAAAGGAGCTATTTAACACTCTCCGGAATAGGGCTTAAACGGCCGTCTGGGCAGATGAGAAATAGCCGCCTTCAGAGCTGGTTCCAGCTCTGATTACAGAAGCGAGGGTTTTACGTCGGCTCCTGGGAACGCCGTCCCGAGCTGCACGGGGACGCTGAGCTGCATCCCTGAGCGTCCATCGTGCCCACAAGTCCTGCAATTGCAGGTACGCGCTCAGGAGCTGAATTAGTCCTTCCTGGCTACTGTCCCAGGGCAACTAATCATGGCTGAAGCACGACCGACTTGTGGGGAAGAGCACGACGTGATTTATAGGGTAAATAAGYGCTGGGCTTTAGAGAGCCGCGCGGTTGCTGCGCCTCGGAGGGAGTCACCGAGTGCGGCTCCAGCATTGGCTCTGGGAAAGCAGAGTGGCTGCGGCCAGAGCAACCGCAACACACACACACACACTGCATCGCTGCCTTTAGGTAACGGCCACTTCAGTGGCTTTCCAAAGAATCAACACATTCTCAGTAACGGCATTCATGCATTTAGGTCTGCCCCATATCCTTAAAAAACACCCCGCAAACAAGGTAGCAAAAAGCTAATGATTTTTATTTAGCCATACAAACATACGTACGCATCCAAACCAGTCTTACCGCACAAGCAGTACTGGTCCTTCTACCAGTTTCTCACCAACTCCCTATTCAGCACCCAGGGGCACCCTTGGCTACAGCACCACTTACAGTGACCTACAGGGCCGGCACGACCCAAATGCCACCCCCGCGTCCAAGTGCCTGGGAGAGCGCCTGGAAGCCCCGGGACACGGGGAGCCCCGTCCCCTGCCCTTGCTGCTCGCGCTCCGGACACGCGCGGTCCRTCCCCAGCGGGCACCGAGCCGGGCTCGCGGCCCCACAACAGGGGCTCCAGCCCAAACGGGAGCCGAGTCCCGATCCACGTCGTCCCCCCGCACCGCGTCGCTGCCACCGGCACCCGCAGCACATTCGACTTGGTGATGAAGCCAGACATCTAAAATGGTGCAAGAAAGCAGTGTTTGATGGAAAGTTGATGTCTAGCATTTTTCACTCGCTAAATTTTAAAAACCTGTCCACAAACTGCAAGTCCAAGGAATGAGTCATTATCATATTATTAAATCCTATCCTGACGCTCCTGGTGCAATAAAAAAAAATAGAGGCTATTTTTGGCACTTTTAGGGACCTAAAATAGAAAAAGAACAGGTTTAATGCCTGAACATGATGTACTTGAAAAAAAWTAGTGTAACTAATGAGCCCCACAGACTGTGCATGGGGCAGGGCCAGGGACACCCCACTCCCCAATGAGCCCTGAACCCCAGCATGAACATTAAACCCCCATTCCRCTGTGCTCCTGGATTCCCCTCTGCTGGGCACTTGCAGCCAACCAGCTCACAGCAAACTGCTCCCTGACCATAATTCATACCTCACTTTTTAAAAGAACAACACACAGCACCTTTAAATAGAAGAGATCTGAGGCAAGTGTGAGTAACACGTCTTGTTCTGAGGCTGAAAGGGCCAGTGTCTCTGAACATCCATCCTGGGGCAGCTCAGGCTCCCTTGGCTCCGAAGTGCCCATTCCCTCCATCAGCCCCTTGTTGTGCATGGCCAGGGGGGACACGAGCAGCGGGCATCGTCTCACACATAGCCCATAAACGCAATTAAAATGACTTGCTAAACCCAGATGTTAGACTCTGATCAATAGCTGCTAAAAGCTTCAAGCCAAGAAACCCTACAGAGAGCAAATGAGGCCCTGACTTGGGCAAGGAACCTTCCTGGTGGAAACTGCCACCGCTCCGCCTGTTCCCAGGGAAGGGAGACCCATGCAAGCGGAGGATACAGCACTTCAAAGGTGCTAAGTTCTGGGGAGTCAATATGCACCTATCTAACTTCAGACACCACCGAAGATACATAGCTTATCTCCTTGCAAGCTTTCTGCACAAGACAGCCTGAAGTGACATTTTCTTCATCCATCAAAACTGAGATCATTTGAATGAGTGAATATTGTCACCATTATGTAAAATATATATTTTTTTACAGAGTATTTTCCCTACATAGCTCATTAARTAGCTTATCACTGTCCCACCTAGTTTCTTTTCCAATTTTCCTATTGTGCAAGTAGTTGCATAAAACTTGGCTTCAGTCCCAGAAAGAAAGAAGAATGCAGTGGGACTATTTATATGGMGCTCATAAGTTCTGAGAGCTTTATATATGACTTCATAGCTTGAAAAATTATCCCTTAAAAGTCACGACTTTGTTTTGCTGTTTATCTGATACGTTACATTGTGTTCCCTTGGTGGGGTCATCATCAGCTTGATGACAAGACCAAACACAATTGGGTCAGTGATGCAATCTGTATTCCAGTCCCACATCCTGTCTCCAGCAAGCTCCAAATTTTCAATTTCTCAATTAAAATATTGACTTTTGCATAATTTCAGCATGTCAGTGATTCCTACACAACATACGAATTTCTAAAATTGGCATATTGTTCCTTTAACTGCACCTTTTTTAAAAGCAGAAAATCAAACACTCGTAGCACAATGGCAAAAAGCAGAAATTCTTAGGAAGGGCAGAACATAACAATTACCAAGTTATTTGCAGCATTATTTTACAAAAGCAAACATTTCAACCCTCTGACTCGGGATCACTTTGTTATTTCCTATATGCTGCTCAAAGCCCTAATTTTGTTTTAATCCGTAAGACCAGCACACATTTTGAAGAGCTCTCCCAAGAGGCATGCCATGAGMTTTGGACTTCCAAATATATTTCAAGTTTTGACATTTCAATGTGACTATAAGTTCACCCTTGTCAAAGGATATCCTCTAATTATCAGAAAGAAAATGCAAGTCTTAGAAAATCACGACTTAATACAATAGCACAATGCTTCTTAAACCCCAAAATCTAAAGCTTTTTTTTGTTGTTTTTAATTTGTGCTATATTTTTTTTCCACTGCACTTAAAATATTAACCCCAGGAGAAAGGACAAAATATATTTCTTCATGCAAGTTCTGCAGTTATACCTAACTTTTATACTTCCCAAAACCTGAAGACATTCTGAGAGTATAATTTCAAAGTACACCTAGTATTTTTATACTTCATCTGAATCCTCAGAATTCGAACAAAAAGAATATTGACCATATTCCTGCAGGGAAAGCTGGCAGGGCAGCTGTGAGAACRGAACAGCAAAGGGGAAAGCACTTTCTGCAGTGCTTTATCCCAAGCATTTGTCCAGGGATCCGCCACGTCCTCCAGGACAGAGCCCAAGGCCAGGTGTGGATGCAGGAGGGCAGGCAGTGCGCACAGGGCTGCACACCAGCGAGCGCACCAGCGAGCGGGCTCGGCTCCTCCAGCACGGTCACTGGCCCTCACGCTCAGGTAGCTGCCCTATCTGCCCTGAATCTAAATGAAAATAAACGAAACCCAGAACACACATGCAAACCAAGGGGTACATGCGCTGCAGAAAAGGAAAAAAATCCCAGAGTCTGGAAAACGATCAGTTCTCTGCAGCCTTTAGTCATCCTGTCCCCATTCAACACGGGCTGAATTTAAGACCAAACCACAGAAAGCTGTTAAATGTGTTGTTCTGKTTTTTTAAAGAAGGTCCAAATGGCTGTAACGCACACCCACTGGTCTTTATAACCACGGGATTTTCTGCTTGCCTCAAGAAATGCATGGAAATATTTCATTTGAAGAGAGGGGATACATAAAAGAAAGGAATAAACAACTGTCTTTAGGCAGACATAACTCAAACAAATGCACACTTCCCCCAAAAATCTGTCAGTGTGTCTCAAGAAAGCACATTCAATTTACGAGCAAGAGCCAGATGCTGCTAAAACCCTTCAGCAAAAACTTTCTTACGGGCTCTCAGACACTCTTTCATCCAGACTAAGTTGATAAACACAAGACTGCAGGCAGAAGAAGGTGGAGTAGAAGTTTAAAGTTAATGTCAAGGGCAATGGACACGGTCATTTATAATGCTTTGGTAGGCACAACATTACAGTGGAACAAAAATTTAATGATATTCTGGAAGAGATAACACAAGTCCCTTCAAGCTCCCAAGAAAAAGTTTTTCACATTTTAAGACGAATATTTCAGATTTTTCAGGGTCTTCTGTGCCAGAAAGTTAGCTTACAATTGAGAACACGATCACGTAGAAGAGGGAAGAGCAGAACACCTTGTTTGAAGGGGACGGGAGCCGAGCCAGGGCCGCGCGATGCCGCRGAGGGGACGAGGCGGCTCCCAGCACGGCGGCTCCCGCCGAGGGCTCTGATCCAGCTCGGCACCGCGTACGGACCGGCAGGACTTGGCTTAGCCCAGGCCCTGCACCGGGCTGCTGCTTTCGGGCTCCCGGAGCAATGGAGGGGTCCGAGCTGCCACCCRCTCCCCGAATTCTGTGCATGGGAGAGCAGCCGTGGCCAAGGTGCCAGCTGCCGGGCTGAGGCTCGAGGCAGCTCYGAGCAGCCCTGGGCACAGGCTCCGCGGGTGGCTCTTCTCTAGGACAGTGCTGGAGAGCCCCCTTCCCTGCCCACGGACCCCGAGCATCGGATACCGATCGCCGCCAAGAGCCCCTCGGGGAGCTTCCCTCCCACCCCGGGCTGCAGGCAGGAGCGATTCCAGAGCCACGGCTGGCAGGGCCCAAAGGAGCAGCCCGGCTGTGAATCACGCAGTGTCTCCGAGCCCGAGCGCTGCGCCCTGCTCATCCCCGTGTCTCAAATGAGTGGAAACAGGCAGCAAAACCTCCCCAGGTAAAACAAAGAAATTTAATCCTTACTGCTCTCTAATTCCCTGAGGTGATCTCCTCTTTTCCGCACTTCTGAAATTTCAAAGATTCTTCAACATTTATTTTAGTAAAAAGGCTACATCCTTAATCCCCATGATGATTTTTAAAACCTCTTTGTGAATGAAAACAACTACAGAAAAGTGTGTTGCTGTTAAATCTTTCAGTAACTACATTGTTCTTTTAATACACCGTGATGAGCTGAGCGTTACATTCTTTTCAGCATCTGCAGACGCAGGAGGCGAAGGCACAAGGCACATCCTACAGCGTAAGGGATGGGAAATCAAGAAATGTTACTCCCAGCTCAGCTGTTAATCTGCTACCTGACCTTCAGCTGCTTCYTGTCATTATCTTCCACTTCTAGGTGCAAGAAACTATTTTCTTTATAATAATGCACACCTGCAAAGGTCTTCTCTCTCATTCCTGCTGTCAACATGAAAGTAATGTTATTATCATAGCTAGAGAACAGAAATAGCTATTTTTCTTTTGGAGACACAGCAAAAAAAAAATGAGTTAAAATTGATTTTGATAATTTTCTCTCTTTCTTCCAGAAGCTGGGACCAGAGTCCAGTACTGCAAAAGGACAGGACTTTAAAAGGACTGTGCTTTACCTAAGCACAGACCTTCATCTTTGGCAGGAATACATTAAGTAGACAGCAAGCACTAATCTATGAAGTACGTTGAGCRGATATAAACCCATCTTCAAAAACTGGAAAGGTCTTACGAGTAAGAATCACCTCCCTTTAACAAAGCAAGCAGCTGAGTCTTTCCAATGAAATCATCACTGCACTGTCAAAAGCACAAAACCTTGCTGCATTATTTGTAAGGCTTCCCTTCATCCTTCATCTCCTGACACCAAGTAGAGCAATTTCAAGAAATGTAACTAAATGCTTGTTGGAAGAAAAGAGGATGGATGTCAGGACTGCAAGGTTCAATGATGTTCACTGTGATGAGTGTGTTCACAGTGATGTTCAGTCTAGTTGCAACTAATTATGTCATTTAAACTCTATTAAGCAAATTCCAAATACATTTCAACTCCATCTCTCAAGCAAATGAAGAGCCAAAACAGAGAGGAGAAATAATCAGGCATCAGAGTTCAGGACCCCTCCAATGAGAAGGGATACGTACTGCCCAAGGTTGTTGTCACATTAAATTAGACTAAATACGGAAAAATTAACACAAACCAAGGAAAACAGACTCTTCTTCACTAACCTGCTTGTAGATCCAGATGACTGCAAGGAAGCTGGTGAGATTGATCTCTGGATTTCCCCCAGGGAATCAGATTCACTTCTTTTGCAGTCAGGAACTTCTGCCTGAGGCAACTGCTCTGTTCCAATAACTACATCTGTGTGGGGCTTCTGAAAATCTTCTCCTTCCAAGAAGCAAGGCAGACATTAACAAAAATGGCAAAGCAAAATATTAATGTTTAAGTTTTTGCTTCCTGGAAATAGACTTTAAGAAAAACAAAATTTAGAAGTATTTAAGTTCCATCTCCTCATTCCCACTTTGCTTGCTTTCCAAAACTCTCACAATTTCAAAGGATCTGATTTCATTTCCAACAATCATAAAACAGACAAACAAAACCCCAGACACTGCCCCAGAAACACTCCGTTGTTACGTTTCAAACATAGGGAGAGAAGTAAAAGGTCAAGGTATTTATCAGCAGTCATAAGATGTGACTGTGTTTCAAAAATCAGCAAATATTTATGCACACCTCTGTTTTCTGATTCTTGATACCAAATCATTATCTGTTGGACGAGACAGCTTGATAGCCAGAAACTTTTATTTATCAAGTTAAGGGGCTTGTTTTCAATGTSGAAAAAAAAATATATTTCCAAATCTAAGAAAAACGCCAATCAGGCAGATTTTTGTTTCTATTTCCTTTTAATAATAGGAAAAATTATTTCTAGACATTTAACCATGAGGAGCAAGTTTCTGTCTGCTGTAACCAAGCAGGCAGCAGGCTATAGGAAGGCAGTGTCTAACTGGTGTAACGCTTCCTCACTCTCCTGAAGTCACCAGATTTAAAAAAAGCAGGGGCTACGTGCAACAATGCAACTAAAAACACATGCATCAGAAGTATTTATCAAATTCTTATACGGCTTCCCCTTGGTCAAAGCAAAATTCTGTTTTAAAGAAGATATAGGGAATGTTAGAAGCTTAAAGATGCAAAGCAAAACCACCTAAGGCAGTGAGAGATAATCACCTTCAAAGCATCAGCAAAACCTGCAGTATTTTGAAAGGGATTTAAATTAAAACAACCAGTACTGCAGGAGGCACTGGGAGAGAAGCAGGGTTTACAAGTGTGTTTAATTCCATACTATTCCACTACGTACTTCCATGGGAAGTCAAATAAGGCAGCAAGGAATGCACACAAAGCCGCTTCTCTTCCCAGGAGTGATGCTTCCAAATGGCAGGTCATCAGCCCACASATTTGCTTCCTTGCCACTACTCTAATTTCCAGTCTAGTGAAAGACTAATTGCTGTTAATAAAGAGCACAGGCAAAAGCTCTAGGCATTTGTTCCCTCTACCCATAAATCTTTTTATATTTTTAGAAGGTTACCAAATAGACCATCAGGTGCAGCTGTTTGGCACAAAACTAGAAACTGAAGTTTCAGGGATTACGGGAAGCTCAGCGCCCAAGAAGAGCAATGAATATTTCTGAAGCCTGTCAGAAGTTGTGCTCATTCATRCTAAGCGCAACGAAACCCCTCCTAGAATCAGCTGAGGTGCTGCAGCCGTGCAGGGAACGTGGCACAATGACACAGCCCAGGTGAACGACAAGGGCTTTTTATTCTCCACTTGAGCTSCTCCAAGTCCGCAGTTCAACACGTAAAGACAAAGGCCCCGCTGAAGAGACAAGCCCAGTAATTCATGGTAGCCAATCTTCCTACAGAGACCCAAGAAATTAATATTTCAAAGTCTACGATCCCATTAACTAATAATCTATTGTTTCCATCTCCACTGTGGCAGAGGGACATCACTGCAAATCAAATGGGATAAATTCTGTCCTTGAGACTCCTCAGTTTTTACCAGTCACATGAAAAGGATTATGCATTGTGTCCAAGTCTGCATGAAACATATTAGTATTTTCATTCATTTTTATTCTTGAGAGCTCTGCTAAAAAGGACAACTCGGGACAACCACAGCCCAAAGATTAAGCAGGAATTTGCAAGAGCTGGTGCAAACTAAATTGGGTGAATTCCCAAGCAGACAATAATGCAATTGTCACTGAATTTCTCTCCACAATGACATTTTCTCCACAACACAGCATCTTCATCCACTAGAAGTCCACCAACACGAGGCTGAGGAATGCCCAAAGACCTAGTCCCACTGCACAGCAAGCAGGAGCATAAGAGAAAGGAGAGGGCAAGTCCGTGGCCMGGGGTTGTTTGATGCTGTGAGGAGGCACCCCACGTGCTGCGTGTGGCTCCCACGCCTGCCCAAGTGACCGGGCAAGCTGCACATTCCCACTGCTCCCCGTGCTGAAGGATACAAACACCAGATGAGCCCTCTCAAACGGCGGTGGCATCGCGCTGTGTAAACATGCCGGGGCAGCTGAAGTGTTTTATCCCTTTAGTCTCAGGACAAATAAACACTTCTCCCAATCCACACAAACATCTCTGCAGATCCCAAGACACTGGCTCCCTATCTCATTTATTCTTGAGAGCATAGATTCCCATTAAAATCAAACAAATCACATGTTTGTGCTTGTATATCATGCTAAATCAATGTCAGTCAATCTGTTTAGGGTCTATGATTTTTATAGATTTTCCCTTAAAGACTATGGTGGAAGAATGATGGGCGGAAAGGCTGTTGCTTAGAGACATCCAGTTACTGCAGTGCAGGGATGGTATTAAGCAATGTTACTAACCTGGGTCTGTTGGCTGTTCTTCAGCAGCGGCTTCTTCCCTCTTTTGAGCACTTTCTCCTTTCCTCTTGCCAATTTTCTTCCACCGATTATTTACTTGATCCACTAAAAATTGAAATTCACTTCTGTGTTTGTTCCCTGAAACATAACAATGCATTACTGTAGAAAAAAAAAAAAATTAACTTCATGTCACTGGACTCCTAAAAGTATGTGAATTTTAAATAACTATTACAGGGAAAACCCCAAGCCCACAAAGGCTCTTCAGGGCAGTCTGCTGGAGCAGGTCAGGTCCCCYGAGCGCCCCAAGAGGAGCCCAGGCCCCTGCAGGCAGCCAGGGCACAGGAGCCTGCACACAGGGCTGTGACTCCACACAGCACCTGGCGCCAACACACTGCCTGCCACCGTGTTTTATAGAGGCAGAGACCACGYAGGAAAAGTGTAGGTGCTCCCTGATGAAACCTGCCTGAATGAGGACCGAGTCCTGACAGCTTGGAGGAAACACGAGCAATAAGAGCAAGGAGAGCTYGAGGGCTCACCAAAATTCTCGTTTGGAAACTAATCGATTTCTGGAAAGCAAGRGATTAAACTACACATGTCTTGAGGAAAAAACACCTGGCAAGAAGCACACCTTATATTACACAGTGTGTTTTCTTAGACACACACATGCCTGAATACTGTTTAAAGTTGCTGCTTTGTACAATAAAATAACAGAAACTTTTGCCCCATGGAAGGGCACCAGTAAGAATAAGGTCCCAGGCACTCTTTAGAATGAGGGCCCTCTCCTCAAACAGCAGAGCACACCAGCAAGGGCCAAGAGCTCTAACAAACCGAGAATTCTTGCCCAAGACACTTGTATCTGAACCACTGCACATTTATTACATAATTCCTTYGGTGCTTCATTTTTTCCATGTGTCAGTAGTACTATTCTTGTTGTTTTGTTTCATGGAGGAACTACAAAGATTTTAAAGTTTAAAAGAAATATCCTGGCAAGAGAAGCCACTGTTGGTAGAGGATGTAAAACACGGCTGTGCTGAGGCCACATACCCTGAGCTTTTKTTTCTTCTTCTTTTAAGTTATGGGTAGCTCAGTAATAAAACAACTGCAGACACAGTTACAAATATTTAAAATACAAGAGATAAATCAGTAAGACCCTGCAATGCAAACTGAAATACTTACAAGCAGAAAGCATTTTTAAATAACCGTGTTCTTCCCTAATAGATTTTTTTTTCAATTTTCATTTAGAGGGTCTGAGCACGGAGGGGCGGGGAGGAAGGTCCCATCCACCTCTTGCTGGATGCGGGAGGAACAGAATCAAGGGGGACAGGGCASGTTTCACTGCACGTCAAGGCAGGGGTCCTGACATCCCCTCTCAAGCCGGGGATCATCAGCCCTGCTGGGAAACGGGACCTACAKTGCAAACAATGTAAATTTGAAAGGGAAAAAAAAAAAAACCTTAGTCTGCATCAAAACTTTTAAAAAATCCTCTGCATTGCTAAGAAGAACCGTTATAAATTTCTCTTAACCTCCAACAGTCCTCTGAYTTTAATGTATAATCTTTTCTGCATATTTACCACATCTGCACTATTGCTTCTACCAGATCATTTGCTGACTCTAGTTAACAAGTTTACAAGGGGTGACATTAAGCAGGTGCCAGTTCTATGCTGTAAAATTAAAATTGTAGCGTTAAGTCATAGCTCCTCCTGTGATCTTTTCCCTGTTACTTCTCCCCACTCCCTTAAGTCATTCATTCTGGTCAGGCTGCCTGGAACAATTAACTGTTGTTCCATAACGGCAGGAGGAGGCTCAATAACCAGCACAGACACTGGTCTGCTGGATGGAGGACTCAAGGTTAAAAAAWAAGRGAAATAAAAGWMAAAAAGGGGAGAAAAAAAAAAAAAGGTGAGGGGCGGAAAGGAAAAAAAAAAAAAAAAATCACACTTTCCCCACTGAATCCCAACTACCCATCGCTACTAGGATGGGGAGAAACATCGCTAAAACGAGTTGAATATTCCCTGCTACAAAGGAGAGCAAAACCCGCAAGCCCGTGTGCGCAGAAGGAGCGAGAGCAGCACTGTAAACACTGCATGGTTTGAGAAACCCACCATACAGATAATACATGAGGGAAAAAAGTGCCTTTTGGTACATTTAAAATATATGTTTTAGCAATAAGGGTCACTACCTACTGTGGAAATGTAAAAAACACAAAACTGGTGCAGTCACAAAGTACTTTAGAAGAGCCACATTAAACATAAACTATTCTGGATACACTATTATCAGCTAAKATCACTCTGCACCATAAAGCAAACCTAGAAAAGGGAAAGAAAGGTGAAATTTGTACAAGCCATCCAGTCAGGATGAGTCAGTGCAATTTAACTGAGACCTGTGCTCAATCATTAAGGAGGAGAGGATATGCTGATTAATGGACACCCAACCTCCTCGTTAAGAGGCACRCTGGGGAGGGCAGCAGCCCCCAGCCCACCCACCCAGGGGGTTTCAGCCAGTGCCAGTCTCCCCTTTGGGCCACAGTCCCTCTCCAAGGCTGGAAACCTGCCTGCCAAGCAGAGCCAGACTGCCTGGTAGCTCAAGAGAAAACGATATAAAAACTGAAGCTGAAAAAGCTCTCAGCACCTAAAACCCCCACTGAAGTATGTGCCATTATTCACTAGGACATAGCAGCAGGAAAGATGCTTTTTTTTTTTTWAAATAATCAGCTGAGTGACTTATAGATACTAATGGGCTGCCAGCCCAGAAATTTAACAAACATGAACTGAAAAACAATCAATTCCCCATAAACCTCTTGAATTAACCCAGGTAACACTGGGAGGATGCACTGAGAAGTCTGGGGCAAGGAAGAGTGAAATGTCCCGAGCGAGGCAGGAGCAGCCTTCCCTGCCATCACARCCTCTCCCGCAGGAGCTGCACCCCCAACTCCTGCACCCTGCACGGAGCTGGCAACCGGGAACCGAGGCGGCCTTCAGTGCCACCGGGAGCGCTCCTGTCACGGGCCCGGATGCCAAACCCCAAAGGGCAGCGAGACCCTGCAGCAAAGCTCTGCTCCCTACTTCTGCCAGAGGATTTCAGATGAAGCCATAAAACTGGAGGACCACTAGGGAGACATGMGCATGAATGAAGACGCGCTCAGGGAGCCATCGGATTCCTTTTCCATCCTACCAAGCCCTGGCTGTTTTATTAAAAAGTCAGTACTTAACTGATTGCGTTTCAAAGGGGAAGTTTCAGGCCAAGAAATCCACTTTCATTTATTAAATGAAGAAATAAACACTCAAAAAATATCAAGTATTTTAGTACAAAGTAAAGAGGAGGTGAATTTATAGGGTAAATGAAGCGAATATTTATTTGTATGTTACTTACGATAATCAGCATGGATCTCATCTATTTCTTTCTCTGTCTTGTMTTTTGTAAAGGTCAGGCTCTACAGAAATCACACAAATGTTTATTCATAGAGGGAAAAGATGAGCAAGATGAATGGTTTAAAACAGAAGACTTAAAATTGCAAGAGGGACCAGCTGCCCATTTCTCCCCGCCTGCTGCACCTCACCCCTGGACTGCACATATTTAACGTACACACATATGCAGCCTTGCTTGGYTTCCACAAGGACACCAGAGCAAGCCCAGCCACTTCTCATGCCTCTAGTACATATGGACCATAAAATACACTGCACTGCTGTGCAAACATGCAGCAAGAGACACAAAACGTGTCACGGAGAAAGAACAGGAGCTACTACTAATGTCCAGGCAAGCAACTTGCTAGATAAATCTTAGAAAATTCTAGGAAGCAAAATATTCCCCAGAGTACCGCAATGGGTCTAAATTCTTCAGTATGACCAAGGGGAACATTTCTCAGAAATTCTCACCACAATCAAAAAAATGTTCCTGCTTAAATAGTTCAGACCCAGAAACATCAGCAGCAGGTCAGGAACTGCCCACGACAAGCACGTTGATTACAAACGTTGTCCAGCTCCAGCATGACACCTGGGCCTCTGTGAATTCCCGTAATAAAAAGGCAGATAAACATGCTCGGCACCGGCTCTGCAGTTCCTCCCCTTCACTTCAGGAGCAAAGTGCAATCAACTTACATTTTCACTAGGTTTACTGAATTCAAGCTGAACTCGAATCTTCTCGTTCTTTTCCAGCTCTTTAACAATCTCTGCAACTGTTTGGAAACACAAGAAACAGATGAGTAACCCCGGAGGTGTCAGCCCTGAACGAAACTACCGGGAGGTTAAATCACGCGGGGACAAACAAGCAGCTTTAGGTCGGGGAGCGCGGCGGGGCTCGCGCTGCAGCCGGCACACGTGGCACGGCCGAGCGCCAGCGCCTCGCGGGCTCCCGTCTGGGACTCCAATTTGCCAGAGCCGGTGCTMGCTGCTTTGCTCCTCCGCATCAAACTATTTCCTCCACATCCTGCACCAACACAGTATATTGTGTGTGTATAACACAGTATAACTGTGACCTACAGGCACGTCTTCTATAAAAGCTCCCGCTTTATAGCACACATTTATATGGCAGATAAACCTCCACCGTGCTGCTCRTCTCGTGTTTTCTCCCCAGTTCCAAGGCATGGCAGAGCTGCCTGCACACTTACCTCCAACACTCGAGTCTCACCATGAATTACAACCCACCGCAAGGGGCAAGTCGGACACCTCACACACTACTGGGTTTGTTAACATTTTAAATAAARCCGCAGCTACACTTGACTCTGCTTGATTTATTTTGAGGTTTACTTGCTAATAACTTAATCATTTAATCATTTTTACAGAAGCACTACACAGCTATGTGCAGTTACTAAAACAAATAGTTTCAGTACAGAGTGCAGTAATCAGAGAGGTGGCAGCAGGGAAAAGCCTCTTAGGCTGCAAAGAAATAAAACCTATTCAAGACTGGTTCGGCAAACTCCAGGAATTTGGCACTTAGGCCTCCCCAGAAGCTCCGCTCTTCTTATTTACAGTGTCCTCAGGTTCACTGCTACCATGGGAAATGACTGTCTCCACCGTTAGGCCTAGCCCAATAACTCCTCTTCTATAAGGAGGTATTGAGCCAGAGCTCAATAAAGTTTTGCACCATTTCTGGGATGCTGGCTGAAGCGGACGGCTCTACTGGGAATCCACGTGTTGGGATGGCCCTGTAGACAGGGATCCCGCGCTCCTTGATGCCAAGTGCCGCGGGAAGAGCACCTCGGATGGGAGCAGGCRCAGCTCGGCGGGCAGCGAGAGCCGCGGGCTCCGCAGGGGCTCCGCGGGCCTCAGCTCTGCCGGCGGGGACGAGCCGAGGGTGGCGCGAGGCACACGGGTGCTTCCCAAAGTGACGGGCACCAGCCGGGCAGCCACCCTGCGGCCTAAGTCACTCGGGAATAAAACCGTCCTYGGTTCCCATCGAGCTCGTAAAGCGGAAGCACGGTGAAAAAGCAAAAATTTTGGTGACGAACTTGCTTTTCTCATCACTCAAGTCACAGGTCAAGCCCAGGACTGGCAAGGTCAAGACTTGAAAAATCAGGAGCCTAAAGTCTGACTGCTAAATTCATATTTATATTCCGCAGAGCTGATCTTTAGAGGAGCACTGCGCCTGGCTGGTTCGTCAGCTTTGCCAATTCTTGGTGCTCTGCTGCTTTATTTCTCTAACAGAGGCAGYCGTGGAGGCTCAGCATTTGTGCACATCCATCACACAGACCACGTAAGTATGGATTTAGCATCCGACCTCCGACATTCACGTTAAGGTTCTCCGGTAGTGCCCTCTTTCAGAAGCATTATCGACTGGCRCACTGGTTGGTGCCATGCGTGAACCTGGAAGCCTCCTCCAGGACAGGCCCTCCTGTGCCACCAGGCACTCCTGGTACCCAGGGTGGTCCCTCCTAGTGCTTGTGAGCGGGAGATGGACAAGACACATGGGACAAGAGGCCCCTTCGGCTGCAGAAGGTGAGCGGAGCACAGCGAACCGCGCGGGGCTGCTCTCCCTCCAGCTCCCTGCCCTTCAGAAGCGGCTGCGGCGCCGGCAAGTGCAGCCAAATACCTCGCTCAGGCCTCGGACTTCAGGAAGCAGCCTGGCATTTTCCAGGAATTCAACCTCAGCACCAGCAAAAATGACTCCTGTTTGAACAAGCTTTGTGCTGCACTCACAGCAGACACTAAAACACAATCTCTTTTTCACATACAAACTGCTCAGTGCTAAACATAGTGCCAATTTAATTACAAAAAAATTGCTGCCAAACACCTAAATTGATATAAAAAGTCTATGCAGCAAAACATTTTAATATTCATTTATYTTACACTTAACTATTAGCTCTAAAAAAAAATCTAACTTTTACATTAAATCCAACATAAAAGCCTCATTGTGCAGTAGGACTAATRCAAAATAAATATGTAAATTCCCTTAGCATGAACCTCAGGTATTTTCAATTTTTTTTTTTTAAACTATGCACATCGGAGATTAATTTGGAGGTATCCAATAAAAAAAAATCAATAAAACCACAACATATTTTGGAACAGGCTTAATAAATCAGAAAGTATTTTAATACAGTGGAGACGGAAACGTGTTAATAGAGAAAAAACGTTTTTTTCCCATGTATATGTACACCTTTGCCAAATACTTCCCGAGTACAGCAAAACACTTCTGGCTTTTCTTAAGTTTCCTTTTCACASTAATTGTGATTTATATATAACTATGAAGTTAAAATCTCCATCTGCAGCATCCCCAAATCCCAAAGCCACCCTTTGCTGGGGATAGGGGAAGGAATAAGCACGTGCAGATAGCGATCCTGCTGCTGATGCCGACTTTGCCGCACGTGCCACGTACCCGGCTTGGGGCTGAGCGCGTCGCACTGCGCGTTGTACATGTGCACGAACTCCTGGTGCCGCCTCACCAGCTGCTGCCGGCTGCCCCGCGTGGACAGGCCCTGCTCCCGCAGCTTCTTCTTCAAGTCTCGGTCGGACAGCAAGTTGTAAACAACTTTAGACATGGGCTTCCTTTTGCTACCAGAACTGCCAAAGGAAGAGGAAACAAACAGGGTATTCAGGTGGGGTTGGATTTTTAACTAATACTCTTAGCAAGTAACATTGGCTTTGATTTTCACAGGGTATTTCTTCCACATTAGATGAGAAATACTTCATGTAATCAGAACAATCATTATAGAAACACAGCAAGTTACACAGCACAAGACACATGCACCAGGAACAGCTCTAGAGTACTTTTCCTATCTAAAATAAAGACCATTTTAAATGCTTAGAAATTATCAGTCAAGTCGGAATTGTTTAGAACATGATGTGAAAGCCACTTCTCATGGATTTAGGACTCAGTTTTTAATATCCCCAGCCCTGAGAGGCACAGCAGCAACCAGAGTTACTCTCTATGAGCATCAAGCCTCTGTTCGCTCTGAATTCAAGTGTGCCGAGTTCACAGATGCCCAAGACACATGGGGTTTCCACCCAAGAACTTTACTGTATTTTTGGGCTGTGCTTTACCTGAACTAGTTGATGAGGTTTTAACATTTGTTGAACTACAACCCAGCATGTAATTTAGAAGATTTTTCAGCTCTCTGGACAAATGACTGAAGAGGAGAGCCCTAGCCGTGTACCTGACGGCACCTTTGTGGTTCCCATCTCACAGACGGTGTTTGATGGTACAGAAAACCCCATTAAGGAGAATCAGTGGTGCTCTCGGACGAAGAGCATCCAAGACCAAAGCCTGCTCCTGGCGCTGCCGTACGGCACAAGCCATCACTTTCCCCAGCCCAGAGAGGGCCAAGATGAACAGTGCAGTTTATCTCACCTAGCTCTCCTGCTGAAATAACTAAAGTAATCACTAAAGTACCAAAATCCATCTACTCTCTAGCTCCCCTTCAACTTATATAATCTCTTATTATTTACAGAAGAACAGCGCACAGTTACAGACACTTTTCTTCCTGAAGCAAAATGAAATTAAGCAGCACTGCTCTGAATTACAGAGACATTAGCAGCTTTCTCTTACAAGGGCAAGAAACACAAAAAACTGTGCTCAGCACTTTTAGCTTACCATGGTGGAAATAAATTTAAAGTTAAAAAAGAAAGACTTCAGGAAAAATAGTCATTAATTCAGCTCCACACAGCTCCAATATGCAGAGCTGGCCAAAAAATATGTTCTTCCACAATACTCTTCCTAGGAAAGGTTTTTTTTTCCCCCCCTCTCTCAGATACTTAGAGGAGATACAAAAAATTAATTGAATAATTAAACCTTTTGTAATCCTGAAGTTTTACCTTTATTGGAGCTGGACAGCAGCACAGCCTGGAGGCCGAGGACAACTTTGGGAGGGGCAGCTGCAGGAAGACCACTCACAGCAGCTCTGCATCTTAGTTTTGTACATCCTAGGGCAACACAGAGCTCTGCAAACATGCTCCCCTGTCTGACTCATCCTGGGGCAGAYTGGGGGCTAAACCATCACGTGCACTGAGTGCTCACGTGCTAACACAGCACGCCCCGGGCTCCCTGGTTGAGACGAGCAGAGCTCGGATTGCTCCCAGAAGAGCTGGACATGGGCTGTTAGCAAAGCCCAAGCAGCACCGGCAGACACACGGCCAAAGCCACGTTTCACGTGCAGCGGCCAGCCCTCAGGAGAAGTATTTTGCATGATACTGCCTCAAGATCCCAGGAGCCCAGCTAAATGAGCAAAATTTTAAATTCTATTAGGTACATGATAACGAAGACTGACCTTCCTTTCATTCTATTCATTAAGAACAGAGGAAACACTAATAACAACCCCAGTTAAGATTAAAATGTAGCACAGGACTTCCATATTAATTTACTACTTATTAATCTCCAAAATCCCTTAACTTACCTACTTCATTTTAAGCCTGGCTGCACAAAATCCCACCCACGGCACCACCCCTCCTGCAGCAGCACTCCCGAGGGCCACAGCGGTGCTGAGCTGGCACTTACCTGCGCAGGCTGTCCCTCTTCTCCTCCCTCGTGAGGCAGCCGTCCAGGTGCTTGTTTATGTACTGCTCCGGGATGGCCACCCCGCACACCGGGCACTCCACTGAAAACAAAGGAGAATCACTGCACTGGCACGCACGCCCATGCAAGACCCAGAGCGTCCTGCTGAGAAGGATTCACTGTTGACTGAAATAACAAAGGAAGGAYTTCCAGATTTCTTTTTCTAAGTGCCTGGCACGTCTAACAGGAATCCTTGCTCTTATCAGTCCTTTTTCACTCCAGATCATTTACTTTATATATTATATGAGAATACACCTTGTCTTCTGTGCACACCAGATAGAAAGAAGTCTCTAACACAAAGGTACGAAAATGTAGAATTATATAGAAATCTAAGGATTCATGAAAAATAGAAATAAGTATATTTGTGTGACTACTTCTCGCTTTCACAGCACTTCACTCCTAAACACAGGAAGATGTTTTATTCCAAAGAGACAGTGAAGCAGACAGTCCATTGATGATGTTCCCAGTTAAAGGCTCTCGCTACCTGTGGATAGGAGGCAGCTAAGGGCTGGCAGGATCACGCTGCCCCAGCTGTGTCTCCCGCTGTCTTTCTACAACAGCCRGCTGGATTTTGTCACCTGGGCTCAGAAGCTCAAAGATGCGCCACAGCCTCAGCCAAACCGGAATTCTTCCTGCATCTCATTTTTAAGAAGCAAGTATAACATCACTCCCAAAGACTGCCAAAAAAGAGTTTTAAAATGTTTGTCTTCTGCAATTTCATTCTGACAAAAACAGAAGTCTAATTTTAAATGAACAGCAGGAGATTAAGATCCTTTAAGCTGCACCTTCTATATCTTCTATATTAATATGAAGAATATTAATATGAATTATTTTAATAATAATAATTTTTTAAAAAGTGAAATGTGAGAGTTTGAGACTGACGTACTCTCAAGACACTGATTTGAAATTCCTGACTCCTAAGACATCATATTCCAGTAAATTGAAAAAAAAAAAAAGTGCTCAAAAATAAACGAGATGCAATTTCATATTTGTTTTAAATTACGAACATGAGCACATGTGCACAGAACAAGAGACCAGCCCTTTTGGCTAAGCTCATGYTGCTTTCATATGGCTACTTTCCTGGATGTATTTCCTGCTTTAAGCAGTATTTATATAGCTAATGAATAGATATGAACTTCAGAGTTCCAGTCTCCCAAGTTGCTAAATAAATTTTTTAAAGTATAAATAAATACGAACTAGCAACAATGTTTTACTCCTATGAGGTCCCCTATTTTATATTAATTTAGGTTTTTATAGCCTCAAGAGGGTGATGCTAAAAGAGTGTTTTGTCATTTTATTATAGCTGATTAATTCTGAAACATGAGAATGTCCATTAAAACTAATCTTAGCACTGCAGAATTATGGAAGAATAAAGCAAAATATTTTCTTCTAGAGAGTGTATGAACAAGAATATTCCCAAAGCTGAAGCCACCGTGATTTTGTCTATATACCTCAAAAAAATAATTAAAAAAGCACTATAAAATAACTTGCTTCTGACTACTGGAGGATACAAGAGCAGAACGAATGATGAGGTCTGTCTAGCTGTTAAGGGGAAGGAGAAGAGTAAAAACTTCATGTTCCACTGAGCTAATCTGTGGTGTACTTTTTTCTTTTTTAAGAGGTATTACTAAAAACAAAGGAATCTTTAAGAGTTGAACTTCACTTATTTGCTTGGCACCAACCCAAAGTTCCTCAYCAAGAGGATGCTTGTAGCACAGTCCCACGCACCCCTGAGTTCACGCGGCGTCTAACCATCACACTGAAGCCCAGCCCAGTTCAACAGCATACGCCTCAACATGTCAATACACTGCAGAAAAAGCAGCTGAATCCCACACATTGATGCTTCTCTAATAAACACTGAAACCAAGGACTCAAAGAACAGGACAAGGCCAAAATTAAGCATCTCACCTTTCTTAACTAATTTGCCCACAGATGTAGAAGGTTCTTCATGATTTTTGGCACATTCAGGACTCTTCCCTGACGTCACCTCAGCGTCTTTGCCACAAGCCTCGGGAGAGCTGCTACAAAGGTTATGGTGGTTCTCAGTTTTGCAGACCTTCCACTCTGCTCCCACGAGTCCATCTGCCTTGGTCGGGGTGCGCACCTTTTCCTTCATCAGGAAGCCCTCAATCACGGGCAGCTCTTCTTTCTGGACGGTTTTAGCTGGCCAAGCCCCAGGACTCCTAACGTGGCTTTTGCCAGTTGCTCGTCTGCTGCAGGCCAACGGGGAAGGAATCACTGGAGCATCCACGACCAACTGGAGCAGCTGTTGCCTAGAAGGATCCAGAGGGCAACACGCAGTTAGCTACACAATATACATGCATCAGCTTTGACACAAGGAGATGAAACTGCTGGGAAGAGGCTTTGGTTCTAGCTCTGCCTCCCCACTGCACAAATTACAGCGTGCAGCTGTAATAAAACAAGTTCCACCACCTGGCACATAGTAAGGTACGAGTGTTTTCATCTTTCTTGAGGACCGTAGATAACAGMTTCAAGACAGAGTACTGCAAGCCAGCTCTGTGCTGTGAGAGACTCTCCCCAAAACAGAAGTTCACAGAAAGTATTTCCATATTCTTTCTGTCCCTCCATACTGTTGGTCTCCTTGGAACTGCTGCTCACTGCCCACCCAGCACAAAAAATCCCTCTAAGCCAATAGCTCGTGCTTGCCAGCTCCCGAGGTCGGTGTCAGGGAGCCTCTGTGTGCGACATGATTCCCTGGGGATCAGCTGCTCTTTTGATAGGTATCAGTAACACACCTGARAAGCAGATGTTCTTTGACTCAAGGGAAATTTCCACACAGCAAACTGCAAGCACTGCAACTAACGCWGCTCTTCTACAGCTTTTAAACATGCTGGGCCACGTAAAACATGGAAAAAACTTATTAACCCCTCTCCTCCCTGCCTCCCCAATTTCAGTACTTAGAATGCTAGTCACACCAATGTGCAAGTGCTCTGCTTTATCTCATGTAAGGCACAGGAAAACATGTTTTATCCCTGCCCTCCTGTGAGCTTTTGCAGAGTCCTGTTTTTGCCCCATACTTTATACAAGTCCATGCACAGAGGTAAGGCAATGGCTGCAGCCAAGGCCTGGAGGCCGCCTAGCAGCACAGCCGCCTCACCTGCCCACTCAGCTCGTGCTGCCCGTCC